CTGAAGTTACTTAAAATGTTTCTTTGTTCCTTTAAAAACTTGAATTATTAGCCCTTTATTCTGGTGTATTTAATTTAAGTATTTGTAAGTAAATATAATTACAATGTAATTACATGGTAAGATAAAATATATGAAAATGTAGTTTTAGATGGATTACGCTGTCAGTTGGAGGCCAGTAAAAAGATGTGATCAATAACATTAATTCTAGCTGTATTCAGTGGAGGTGTCGATTGAATAGATTGTGTGGTATCATCGATACTCAACTCACTGTGACATCAAATCAAGCCAGTGTTAATGCTATTAGTTTCATTTCTGCTCTTCTATACTATCAGTCAAAGTAAGCTAAGCTTGCTTTATGCTGTTGAAGTTAAGTGACAGTACTGTGGAGGAATCTGTGCAGGTGTGGACAAAAGAATGAAATCCAAACCAAATTATTGTTGATTTTAGCTCATGCGCCAGCTGACTGAGCATTTTTCACTACTGTGAGACCACACTATGCTATATTGATAGTCAGTCCTCGGATACAGTAAATTGCTTGAGTAAGGGCTTGCTTTTACTGCTCATGGAGCAGCTCACACCTTAAGAAGATTATTGTTTATGTTCCCTCTGGCAGTATAATGTATGTCTACAGCAGGAAGTCTGCTAGCTAAGTCCATAAGCTTGGAGACGGGAACACTAATGTCCTGTGGTTCAGCTCCCAACATGTGAATCTGGCTCCCGGGCTTTGTGAGAGATAAAGTTAAAACAAAGCACTTACACAATATTAAAGTTTAATGTTAGAAATCTTAGTGAGAAGCTTGTAAGATACTTTTCAGGGAATTGTTAGACCCAGAACCTTAATGTCAATAATGGGTGTTAGTGGATGGTTTTTTTAACTACTACTTTTTGTGGTATTACTTGTCGACTTGAGCTTTGTTTTTTTATTGCCCTCAGATTTGTACTATTATGCATCCTTGAGAAAAACAAACAACAAGCAGAATTCCTTCATACGTTCTTTAATCAAACTGCAAAATGCTAAATGTCACGGGCAGCAGTTTGCTCTATCTTCATCTGATTATGTTAAACTCCACGTTTGGGGTCCTTAACGCTGAGCTGCTCACTGACGAGCTGAATGTGGTATGTTAGATTTGCAAAGTATTTATTTACTTGAGTTTCTATTTTTTTTTGTTTATAATGATGGTGGACTGTCAAACTGAATTACCCACTGCGGAATAAATAAGGTTTTCTGAACCTGAACACAGATAAACACAAGACACACAAATTCTGCACTCAGGTTTCCTGCAGTGCACAAATTATACAACCTTAATTCACTTAGAACATAATGGCTTACATGCTGTAAATGACTATGAGCTAATAACATAATATTATTGATGTTGTCCGCACTGATTCAGTTCTCTTTGGATGATGTTCTTCCATGTCTCTGTTTGCAGCAGCTGTCTGTTCATCTCTTTGTGCAATGCTTTTCTGCTTTCTCGACCTGCACAGCTGGCAAAACAGCTGGCTCAGGTACCAGGCCACCCAAGTCTTGTGACACAGCTAAGATTCATCTGAATTAGAAGGAGAGAGGAAGGAGGAGGATTCACACACGTACAAGTATCAAACCCGTACCAGATAGCATAAAGTCACACCCTGTATGGGTGAGGTGGATTCATCTTAGAGCAGCTGTTCCTCCATTACGTGATAACGCACTCAAAGTACAATTTCCCGGGCGTGGCTCAAGCGGCCGTTGACCTGAAAGAAACCTAGACAGCACGGAAGGTCAAGGTGTGGCTCTTATAGGCAGAGTTATGACGCAGGATAATGACAGTGTTACCTGAAGAGGATGTACAGAAGGGAGAGTGGAATAATCCCGTGTTAGTGTTTCCTGTGTTTGTGTCTGTCACTTAAGTGAAGGAGGATTGTGGGGGTGGTGGGGATGAAGAAAATGTCTGCCAAGAACAAGGACAAGAAGATAAGGAGATTGGGGCACAGACCGGGAAGAACAAGCCCGACTACTCTAAAGGTATTTGATAGAGATGAAGATGCACTTCAGACAGGCTGACGAATGAGTCTGGCCAGCTCGTGGTTCCATCTGTGGTGTTAACTAAGAGCTCGAGGAGTGAGAGAAGGCAGCACTGAGCATGTGTGCAAGGGAGAGCAAGCTCGGGCATCTGGTTCTGCTAAGGCCCCAGAACATTCCTTTCCTCTGTTCGACTCCGGCTGGCAGCTTTTAAAGGGACACATTTGGTCTTACATCCTGCTCTGGGCATTGCCCTTTCTCTTGTAGTTTGATTTATCGCTGCTGAAGGTCACAGGCAAGATGTCGGGCTGCCGGTTTAAATGTGGGTTCTTTTCTCGACACTTACGGCTGTTAGAGAGGAAACACTTAACAGCAGCAAACTTTAGCTGTCACACTTTTTTAATACATTTTAATACATTTTAGTGTTGGCAGTTTCCGTTTTCCTCTCACTAGCCTACTACAAACTAATTCTTTGTGGTAATCTTTGTTCTGTATTCACTGATATATTTGAACGCTAATCAATAAATCAATAAATTATTATTTTTTACTACAATATCAATACAAAGACATAAAGTAGGATGTGTAAATGCTTATTATAGTCAAGCCTTCAGTCTTATTAGGATCAGCTGCTGAGCTTTTCACACAGGAGTTTGTTTAAACACTCAAAGTTAAACTGAAATAAGTGGAAGAAAATGACTCGTCTAAAATGTGTCTTTGGGCTGATGCAAGCCAGGAGAAACTTACAGCTGTGCCAATACTGTACAACAACTTTACAATAACATGTCATTAAAAACAAACGCTGAGCTGCAGAGCCATCACGAAGACTAACCCTGAGTGACAGATGACTTCCATGATGCAATATTATTGTTACATGATACAGCAGGTGTCACGGTGTGAATCCAGTCACATGAACGTGCTGCATAAGTAACAGGATTTTCAGACCCTGAGTGACTATCCTGTTTTTTTTTAAATGTGTATGATGGTCAGAGCCTGGATTTTTAGTCTCGTTATCTTCATGTCACTCCTAGGAGGGGGGGGTGGAAGTGTCTTCGGTGCAGGGAATAGCCAACCACAACAGTTCTTCAGCTGGCAGCTTTAGCTGGTACATGAGGACATAAAGCTTGCCAGTGAAGAACTGCTGTAGGTCAGCCAGTGAGCACCTTATATCCAACATTCGGATACACAGCATAACCTGAAGGGAAATATATGCAGAGCATCAGTGAAGTCAGCTATAGTTCCTTCTGAAAGACATTTTAAGCCTTTGACTTGTCCTAAATTTTAAAAAAATAGCTAAAATAATTTCACTTATTGTCAATCTTCTGCCAACTTAGAGAAAATAAGGCTAACGGTATGAAATACCTCTCAGTCAACCAGATGCAATAATGACTTTGTTTTTAAAGGGTTTTTTTTAGGTGCCTGCATCTAGTAACCTCTATTTGTACTCCATCTTAAGGCCCATCCACGCTGGCTTTAGCTTTCAGTCGTGGTGGTTGCTGCTTGGCACACCACCACACAACTGCTTCTTTCTGTGCTGGCTTCAAGAGGATCTTGTGGGAGAAAGGTGAAGAGGTAGAGAGAAAGATGCCAGAGAGAAAGGAGAAGTAGAAAAAAGGCATGTTTTCTTCGTTTTTTGGTGAATATTGCGGTGCGGTGAGTTAAAATGTCCATGCGCACGTAAACGACAGCGCTGTGTGTGTAAGTGCCCGAAGCTATCCTGCATCAGGAGTACCAGCCTACTGTTTTAGCCTTCTCTCTGCTTTTTGCTATAATTGAGTACAGGAGTCTTTGCTAGCTAGATAGCTCGGCCTCTGGTTACAGCCTGGAACTCCTGATAGAAAACAGCTCTCGTCCTGTGGGGCAGTTCAGTTTACAGCAGCCATACAGGGCTGAGCGAAGGAATTTTTCCTCGCAGTTCAGGCAATTCTACTCCCCTGGGTGTGTGACTGCTTCACCAACATGTCAAGTATGTTGTTATTTCACCTTAAGATCTCCCCACAAATTTTCATCCAAAAACTTGAGTTTAGGATTGAATGAATTGACTGCACAGCGCCGATTTGAACCGGCTTCCCCCCATTTATTTGTTTTTGCTATGAAGTAATTTTTTTAAAGTTAAACTTTATTGAGTGTTGGAGATTTAAAGTGACAGGAAAACCATTTATGGGATGTTCCCCTTTAAACATCCACATTCAGCCGGCGACTGTATAATACTTAGGAGTAGCCCAGGATTTGTCTCGCCTGGCTTCCATTCAGCTGGCCTGACTTCAACTATTGCAGTCAGTCAGTCTGAAAAGCCTTTCCCTAGCAGCATATTCTTTCACAGTTCAAAGACAGGACTTTGGGCAAACTAGCCCTCAGCGGCACTGCGAACCCAGCAACCCATAGAAACTCAGCGAACCCCACGCTGTTCTGAGCAACACTGGAAAGCTCTGGACTTCACACACAAAACACACACACTCACTCCATGTGACCAGATTGTCCTCTTCCACCGAGACTAGATCGAGAGAGAATTCTGAATCTGCTGTGGGCCTTGAACTTGCACTAAATCCAGAGGGATCCATTGTGAGTGCGTAATATTGGAGATGAGATCCAGGGCAAAAGCTTCCTCTTTTGTACTCAGTGAGCATATTTACTAAAAGGCACCTGATGCCACCACTGGAGTTTGTTAACAGTGAGAAGATTAGTTTCTCCTGGTGTCCTATGGAGTGTGTTTGAACTGGTAAGAAGATTAGAGTTTTACACAAGGATGGACGGAGATGTAAACAGATGAAATAATGAAAACAGGATGGAGAAAAAATGGCAGCAAATGGCGACAAGGTCAGAGATCATCGCTGCTACAAGAAATCAGACTGGTGACCATGCAGTAACCCTGATGTGACACAGAATGAAACAAGTCTCCCTCTGGCAATATACTAGGCTTTAGCAGCTTGTCAGTTCAGATATAAGCATAATGTGCAAAGGATTAAGTGCAAAAGAAGCATATATGGCAATAATACTTTTTTTCCCAGAATTGTAGCATTTGCTTTAAATGCAGCACTTTAGTGGGGAAGATGAAGAGCACTGTTTAATATTTCTACATGTGAAACATACAGGAAAGAAAGAAGTCTGGAAGAAGAAAATAAGTGCAAAAAAAGAAAGAGAAGAAAAAAATCCTCATTATTTATCAATTGCATGCAATAAAAAAATGAAGTTGAGCCTGTTGTGACAGAGAGCTGGAGTTTCTTTGTTCTTCGTGTAGTTTTCAAACCGCATTATTTCTCGGCTGTGTTTTTTTCCCCTCTACTCATGAAATGCTAAGTATGCGCACTACACGTGCAAGCAGAGGCCATCCCGTACACCAGAGTGGAGAACACAGTGTACCAGAGGACTGATTTATTACCCAGAGCTGACGATTCCCAGGACAATTACGGCAAGCCTAAGCAACAGGGTGAAAATGGCTCCTCGGAGTGTGTAGGAAGAAACAAGCAAATACACACAAGTGGCACACAGCGCATGTGTGCACGAGTGATAGAAGCAGTGAGTTGGCAGTGAGCTAGTGATAGCTTAAACTTCTGAGATCAAGACCCATTGTCCCCAAATCGTGACATTACTCTGAGGTTGACGTGCGCAGCGAACCAGCCCATGTGTTTTTGGTTATTCCTGAGGCAGCACAGACATAGACAGACTAAATACCTGTTAGGTTAAAAATGCAAACAAAACCATGGAGAACACAAACTCGGCAAAAAGGGTATTTAGTAGTGATGGCACGATTGTTAACTTTGCCTTAGAGCAAATATGAAGCTGTCCAGAGGCTCGACAAAAGTAACACATTAACCAACGCGCTTTAAATTGCAAAGTCACTGTAAAAACATTTAAAAATAACTCACAGCCGACTGCCAAGTAGACATCCTCTTACAAAAGTGACCTGATATTAAAGGGTGTGCTCACCCTCGTTTGTTTCCAGACAATCCCACTTATTTGGATTTGGCTGTGGGTATGGTTTGGGCTATAATGGTCTTTTTTGGTAAATTGGAATGCTATCTAATTGCGGAAGTATGACTAAGAGGAAAGAGACTAGATTCAATCTATGAAAGCAAGCCAACAACAACATATCCCAGAAGGCAATACGGGATGATGATACTGCCAAGACCAAAGAATGGGAAGCCCCATGAATCATTCCAGAAATGCCATATCTTATCCAAAATGAATTGCAAAAAATGAATCCAGTCCATATTGTGGTATTTGAACAGTTTTACTGTCAGGGGTACGAGTGGGAATTGATGCTAAATGTTTCTCCTGCAAGACGAAACAGAAAAAAGCTAAAATAGGATACAAAAAACCACCACACAAGCATTTAAGGCAGACTTTGTGTCCAATGTAGGTGGAAGCCTAATGCTACAGCTAAGTATACCATGAAGGCTTTCTTTATATGAAGCAAGAGAATCTTATACAGGTGCTTCCTGTGCTGAGGATATGAGCAGCTGTGCAACAGATTCTGGCAAGCCTCTTATCTGTCCTCCAAAGGCATCAACTATATCCATTTTACAAGCAGGATCAAGCCCTCGTCTTTTTTGGTATCGTAGTCATCTAAAATATTTTCTGTTGAAAGCGGCAGTCCTGGCAGAAACCCTAATGCTAGTTTTATTACAGCAAACTCACGGCACACCCCAGAACAATTAGTTCATTGCCAGTATAACAATTGCACACATTCAAGTCCAGTTTTTTTCCTCTCCAAATAACAATGTAATACTTGAAAAAAAACTCACAATACTGCTTGTGCTCTTTATTACAGGGAGCCAGTCCTCTACAATTAACCATAGTTTTGAGAGGAATGCTCTGCAGGTTGCTTTGAAAGAAGAAGTTGCCATTTCTACTGCAGCAAACATTGGAAATGTCAGCGTAGGCCACAAAAATGATCTGAAACATGTGTTTACTGGTATCTGTTGAAGAATTTCCTCATAATCTATCATATAAATAACAGCAGAGGTAATGCACAGTCTGGCATTTCTCAATCAGCCCACCTTGAGCTCATTCTTGTAAGATACAGTCAGTCACATGTACTACACCCAGGCATTCAAACACGTCCATGTTTGTAACCGTCATCTGAGAGTTTAAAATGTGCATTTAAGGTAATAGGCCAACCCATTAGGAACAAAAGGTGTTTGAAGATATTTTGCATTCCCCAGTGTGCACGCTAACATCCTATACGTGCACACGCTGATGGCCTATTGTATCACTGTCACGGTTTGGACTGGTCTGCACTCGATCATATGTGCACCCCCACCTCCCTTAATCCTTCTCTGAAGGCCATGACAAATTGCTTTCAAGTGAATAGTGGATCAATATATTTGCCAGTGCTTTCCTCCTACAGCTCTGAATTGGATTAGTGAAGGGGGAAAGAATTTCAAAAGCCATGAACAAGCACGCACATACACAAATCCCACTGAAGCGTAATTCCGGAAGAGATGCAAGCTAACACTAGCGCCCTGTCGGAAAAGGTTTCTCCTTCGCGCTCCTGGGTTATCAAAATCACCACGAAAGATTGGAATCTTCTTTGGTGAGTACAGGAGGAGGATAACTTATATGTATAATGCATTTTAGTAAGTAAACAAATACATGCATGAGGCTAGGTGGGTGAGGGTGTGGTGGGATCCATGGAAGTACTCTCCCTATGTGCAGAAACACACACAGACTTTAAATTATGAGATGCAACTAGATACTGCAATGTGAGAGTGAATTGCATGTGCATGTGGATCTATATTGTGTAATCACTCTTTGTGCCCACGGCTGATGTTTATCTGAATATGAATTAATGATTCAAAATGAAACCAGTTACAGCTGTGGGTGGAGGAACACCTTCCGCTGGTAGAAAACAGCCCCATAAAAGGCTAACATGTTCCTCATAGGTTCTATCTGGTTCAGCTGCATAGCATTAACAGTATGTCCCGTGAAACAATAGGTGTAACACGCACAAGCACGCACACACACACACTAAAAGGACCAAAAAGACCCCACAGATTCACCAACCTGACAGCAATTATACCACAGTTATTATCCACGTGGCTGTAAAAATTTGCCACCCTCATTCATCCAGTGAGCACAGCTTGGAAATGCGCTGACTTCCTCCAAACGGAGTATGGTATTTTTTTAAGGAAGAGGTGATGTCAACTGACAGGAAGTCCGCAGGTGGGAAAGAGGAAGAGGAAGCAGCCCTTCCAGTGAAGTCCCGCTGTGTGTCTTACAGGATTTAATGGAGAGCATCTGGAGCCGGGAATGCATGTGAACACGGCAGTCTGCGAGCAAGAACAGAGGTATGCGTCACAGAATATATACACAGAATATGGCGTCTCTACCGTGCGCGGAGAGACGGTGATGCAGCGTGACTTCAAATCTGTGTGCGCACATCTGATGCAAGATCCCTGTGAAGGACACCGAGGGTCAAATCGAATCACCCTTTGGGGAAAAAAAGTAAATAAATAAAAAAAGAAATAGAACGGGAGACACAGAGTTGAGTGAAAGATCCTCACACAGTGAGACAGAAACAGAGGGGTGGAAGTCGGGGTGTGAACACTGGGCAAAGACAGCCAACATAAAGAAAAGATTTGTGTGCTTCCTCTGGCTGTCATCTCGCTTCCTACAACTGGGACGAAGTATGTCAAAGACTACATTGTTTCTCCCTATGTTTCGGTTTGTGCCCATCTTTTACTCTGTAGTTCCCATGAATTCACCCCTTCTCTGTGTCTCTCTCCGTATATACATATATATCCCTTATCACCCTCCCCCTCTAACTAGCAGTTTAGTTAGCGTGCTGAAAGACAGAAAATGCCTGTTGGGTAAATGAATAAGAAGTGGCAGCTGCCCATGCGCGGTGTGAATCCAGAGAATCTCCTCAGTATTATCGCCTCATCCCAACCATCCTCTCTAAAGAGGAGCAGAAAAGGGTTCGGAAGACTGAAATATGCCATATAACATCTCGGTAACAATTCTGTGAGATTTACTTTGACAAGCAGACACACGTCGCTCTGCAGCTTACAAAAATGTCACGTTAAATGGTCAGACCTGTGACCCTGCACTCTTGAACCTGCGAGACTTACCGGTGTTATAATACTAGGTTGTTATGCAAGGTGATTGCTTCATCCTTCAAGCTAAAACTTTGCATCACAAGATATTTATAACTTGCATCAAGTTAATAAGGAAGCTACACAGCAGGGTTGACCCGATGGCTAAGGGAGATAGGGTTTAAACTACATGGGCAAAAATGCTGTGAGCAGGAGGGACTCTTTTTTTTTTTTACGTTTCACATTTCAAGATCACTTCTTCAGCAGCTTTACAATAAAGGCAGAAATAATCTATTAAGAAGATAAAAGAAGATGAAAAGCTGAAGTTGTAAAATGCACCAAACATGGAGATTGGTGGGTTGAACACAAATAAGGAAAAGAAGGAAAGAAAGTTCTGGTATTAGTATTTACACATGATTATACTCTGAAACATGAAGTAGCCTGAAAAAGGAAATCATTATTTAAATATAGAGCGACAGTAGCTTTAATTTGGAGAACTGTTTATGGTAACCTTTTGGGTGTAAGTCTGATATTCTTTCTGTTCTGGGCTTCTGACTTGCCACCTAAGGTTTCCAAGTTTTGTGCACGTTCACATTTGCCGTAGTTAGCTGTAAGATCAGTTCACAGAATTAAAAATGAACTGGGTTACATTTAATTGTCATGTGTTTTTAAAAAAATGCTGCTCGGAGCTTTTCTTTTTCAGGAGAACATCCTCCTACCATCATCACAGCCTCCAATTGTCACAGATTCATAAACTAAATGAATTGCTGTGTACCGTCACACACAGCAGCACTTTAGTAACTTTTGAGGCTCATTGTCTTACTGATTGGCAATGACTTCTTGTTATCATTTACTTGCAGATATTTCCCAAGACAGGCCGGATGGTTTAATTCAGAACTGCTGGGTGCTGCGTTGACTTAACCGCCGCTAGCAGTAGCCATGCCAACAAGCTGCATTGCTTGCAGCCTGTCGTTAATTTGTTAATTCTCATAAGGAACGAGTGGCGTTAATGTCGTGATTTTTTTTACGTTAGCTCACATGGTTTCTAATGTGTTGATGTGCAACAGGGTTATTAAAGGAGTATTAAGGAAAAGCCATTCACGTGGACACTTCTCTATTCAGTCATAAAAGACACAGGGTCAATTTGATTGGCCACTCATGTGATGATAGCTTGACCTTTAACCCTACAGCTCGCATTTGTGCAGAGATGAAAATGTACTAACGGTCTAATGTTTTGTCTTGGAACTACAGATTAGTGCAACAAAGGGTTTTAGTACTAATGTTGTACAAGGTAGATGTCATAAGGAAAACTCTAAGTCCTGATATCATAACTTTAATATTTCATTAGATGAAAATAGATAAAACCATTAGATTAAAGCCATTTAACTACTAGCTCATCACACTCTATCAAGCAGGGTGTGTGTGCATATGTGTGACAGTGTGTGTGTGTGTTTGAGAGAGAGAGAGGGGGCATGACCGGGGTGTGCCAGACTCAAAAAAATGAGAATGTTTGTATAAGTGTGTGTATCTGTGTGTGAGTGTGTTTCCTGCCATTCTGGCCCCAGCTGTACCCAAATAGCCTAAGAGCACAGTGTGCTAAGCTAACAGAGACTAGAAAGCAGCATTCACCCTGGGTTAGTGAGCTGGAAGATCACGGTGCTCTGACACCACAGAAAGAAGGAACCACAGCTCTGAACCTGCATGATAACACCCATCCACGTTTCATTTGCAAGAGTCACCCATCCCCTATTGCTCTGTACAGGTGTTTACTACAGACATTAGACATGACATTAGTATTCAGCAGCTTTAAGTCTTAAATGAGGCCTCTACTAATGGGGTAGGCTGCCTCGCTAGACTGTAATTACTGACACATTTACTCAAAAACGACCATTTAGTTTCAGGCTGGTTGGTTTTTATCCAAGTTACATGCATCATGGCATTTTGAGGCATTTAATAAGCAAGACACTGTTACGTTTCCAGCTCCCTGACTCTCCTATCAATTCTTCCTCCTGTCTACATTTCAAATGAAAAAGAGCAAAAATTGACAAGTTACAAGTTCCTTACAGTGTTTTCTTTAATCCCCACAAACAAGACAGCACACATGGGCTGTGACTGAGACGCAAAGAAGTGATTAGATTTCTAAATATAGTCACACTCTATACATAAATAAAATCTATATTCATTAATTATCTGTTGATAAATGTGTTATTAGGCAAAGCAAAATTGCCAAAAGAGCCATTTACATATCCAAAAACTTGAGATGGTTTTGTTTGACCAAAATGCAAAATTTGAGAAATAAACTAAAATGGCAAAAAAATAAATAATGACCTTTAGAAATGGTTTGTTCCTAGTTAGTTTTCTTCTTTTTTTTCAACCACAGCAAGTAGACTCATTTTAAAATGCATTGCCGTGCCATCTTATACACACCAATTTTTTTTTTTATTGAATGTGATTTAAAGTAACCTTTTGTCTAATAAATAACATGCAGCACATTTTTCCTGAAGCTCTTCTTCTACGCATCCTTCACCTCTCGTCTTCTATCTACTGAGCTTCAATTTCTATCGTGCTTTCCTTGCTCATTCCTCATTTTCTACCTCCTTATCCTGCTGCGCTCCCACAGCGTCTTTAGGTTGGTCAGTTCAGCGAGGCCGAGTTACATTCTTGGGATGCCTCTTACATATGGTTCACATTCCAGCCGGTCTGCTGAGAGGCCCACTGCTCCTCATTGCTGGCCCTGCATAGACGGGCCCAAAGCTAGGCGTGCCACTGCGTTTCTTCAACCTAAAATAATCTCAACCCAGCTTTAGGTTAGCCTAGCCTATGCTAGCATGAGGGTGGAATTTATTAAGCCTCTTCAATCAAAATATGAGATATATATGGGCCAACCCAAGCGCACACTGGTGTTTCGTTTAGCTCTCTGCACAAAGGTGGCTGTAGTTTCTTTTGCAGTTTATCTAATCCCTCGGGCTACTACATCCGCCTCTATGTGTGCTAAAGCTATATAGCACAATGGTCGTATTCTTTAATTAGGTCACCTACAGAAAAGAGTGACAAACTGAATCTAGAAACCATTTATGCAAGAATTCCCTATGTGAAGAAACACACACACATCATGGATGAGCATCCATCTTAAGCTTAAAAAGATTGAGCTTAGTATTTCTAACTTACTAGGTGACCTAAAGTAAGTTCGCATATTTCTGCACACGCAGACAAAACTACTAGTTTTATGAATTTTGTAGAGATCCAGTGAGCAGGTACTTGTGTTTGTGTCGTACATGTAAGTCTAGGCCCCATCAGGTAAACCACACACCGAAGAGCAGTGGACATCTCTCCATATGAGGCAGTTAAAATATTATTCTGGGACATGTTTGGAATACTGGTAAAGCTGCATCATCAACTACTCTATGCCAGACTTCAGCATGCTGCATACACCCACACATCCTGGTGCAGTGCATGTGTGCACATGCAATCAGAGAAAGAGAGTGCATCTGTCCTTCAATCAGACCATACATATCCGCACCTACGTACAACATGGCAACACCTGTTCTCTTAAACATCCCCAGACACTCACTCTTTCAACCCACTTACAATTTCTACACTTGTTACCCTCTTAAAATTGCATATGCGACATTTACCATAAGGTCTGTCATAAATTACTCTGAGCTAGTCACAGTTAGCCCGCTGAGGTTGTCTGGGCGTGGCCATAAAAATGCGCAACCTTACTGCAGCTACCACAAGTCCACCGCAGATCCTCCCCTCTTTGAAAGGCCTTCAGCGACAAAAAAAAGTCAGACCTGCCCAGTTACACAAGTCACTCATAAGTAAGCAGAGGACGAGTGACTCATCAAATAACATTTTTTATTATTAGTTTTCGCGTCAAGAACGCGGGTGATGCAAAGCGTTTATAGATCTGTCTGTGGGCATTTTGGAAAGTAAAGGCCTGCTTGTCAGGCAAACCCCTCCCAGTTTACCAAACCACAAGCATACACACAGTTTCATAAAATATGACAAATATGCAAAGATAAATGCTTTCATATGCGCCCAAAATACTGACTTTCACATTGACCTATCATTTGACTCTAGATTAAAGATCGCAAAAAAAAAAAAATTACTGGCACACACATCAGATCCTGTCTGTCTCCCTGTTACGTGTCGTTTCTGAGGAGTGGAGTAACAGACGTCATGGCTGGACGGCTGTATTAATCAAATCTAGGAAATAATGACTGTGCTGGCTAACCACTAAGGCACACAGACATAGGTAAATCCAAAGCAGCTAAACGATCAGAGCTCAGACAAAGCAAACATTCATACAGGATGGCAAAGGGGAGAAAAGGGAGAAAAAGGGCAGAAAAAACAAGGTTGTCATCGAAACAACAGTTTAATTCTTCACAAATATTCCCCAAAATGATTATTAACTAACTACAGAGCCTGTCAGGTAAGCTACTTCATGTGAACTTCGAGTCTGGGCCATACTTTGTGCAGTCTCCTGACTTCAGTGTGACTCTTCTAACAATAAAAACATTTTCACATACTTTTTGGGTACTAATGTTAAAAACACTCACAATGAGTCATTGTAACTGAGGTCATTGAGGCCTTGTAAATACATTATCACGCTCCTATATGTGAAACTAGCTCCAGCACGGCACTTCCTTCCCAAAGTGTGGGTGCGACATGCACTGGAATTATTACAGTAAGTAAAATTTTGCCCCAAGTCTTGGCATTCAAATGGTTGCGTCCTCAAATCAAGATGTGTCCAGTGGCACTGGACTCTGGCCCTGCCTGTAGCTTCATGTATAATTCACTGTTCATAGGCAAAGGGAGGATAGTTACAGCAGGACTGGCTACTCCTGGGGAAAAGACAGGCTGACGCAACTAACAAGCATTTCCAGAGCATCTCCACCCTGATAAAAACATTTACTCTAAGACACAGTATATAACTGGATGAATAACATTCTTATAATATGTAATTCGACTAGATGAGGTTGTCAGCATTGGAGCAGGCTGTGTGTAGCATAAGCAGCGGAAAAAAAAAAGGCAAGCCATCCGCCATCAGAAGTGGCCGTGATTTGCACGAGGTCAAGTGATGCATCGGGAGTTCTAAGCCTCGCAAAGATCAGGGACGACGAGGTCTGAGCTGTCGCGTAGCCGGCACAGATTGGATGCAGGTGGAAAAAGACACTGGCTCATGGATTACAGCTCAGTACCCAGTCTTTATCAAATTATAACCAGACACCACAGTTTTCCACTGAAGAATATGAGGTTTGAAAGGACAGCTCTTTAACCACGCTGCCATCCTGAATGCTCAAATGTTTGAGATTAGCTTAACCAAAAGTAGGACTGTGAAGACAGCCTTTAAGATTACATAATCCCTGCCACTAGAATTCTTTGAAAATGGAGGTCAGAGTACAGAGAATGGCTAAACTTGCAACAGGTTGATGGTCACAGGTTGGGAGTCAGAGATGCCAGGAAAAAAAGGGAAGCGAGCAACAAGAAAGAAGGAAAGAAAGAAAAAAGTCTTGACAGATAAAAACCTCCTTACGCCCAGACATGGCACAATGGATAGGCTACATGACTTCATGACAAACTCGAGAATTCCACAGGTTGACTCTCAAACAGTCCAGTCTTACCTCAATTTATTAAAACCTCTGGACAATCCTGGAAGAAGAACCAACCGTGATGCTCAAAAAGTCGATTTAAAACAAGAAGATCTACCGTGGACACCTGGAGATACTGAAGAGGGGGGAAAACAGCACAATACAAGCTTGAACGGGGAAATGAATGACGTTCAGGGAAGGAGGGAGGGAGAGAGAGGTGGTGGTGGTGGGGTTACTCTTCACATCCATGTTGAGCTGCAAAGGGTGGGGCCTTGAGGAATTCACTTTTTCCCCTGGACTTAAAGCTTATCTTAATTAGACTACACGGGGTCAGACTGCCTGTGCACTCAATTACGATCGCGTTATTGTGATATAAACGCATTATAATACCGAAGAATGACTCCTCGGTTGTCTTTGACAAGTCAAACAGACTAGTGTAACATAAAGAGCAACTCGTATATTTCATCTCCTCTCCAGCAGTAGATCTGTCTATCCAGCGGACAAACGTCAGGCTTGGCAAAGACACACCCGCTCCATCGCAGTCTATCCTTGGGCTGTGTCACGAACAACTACAGTATATATATATATATATATGTGTATATATGTAAGCAGGCGTCACCAACCGAGAAACCACCTTCAGTGGCTTGAAATTACGTGGTTACGTGTCTTCATTTCCTACTGACAAGACAATAAAACCCGATGAAATGCCTTTAATGGTTGTAGCCTGTAAATGTCACCTCCGCCTGAAAAAAAAAGTTTGCAAAAAACGTATCTGACAGTCGCACTTACTTTAGTTCAGCTCAATCCTCTGGTTCCGCCGAGGTGCGCGTCAATGTGGCGGTAATGTGACAAATATGCGCAATTTGCGCCGTGCTTGGGGGAGATTTGAGGATTATTAGACTCTGTTCGGACTGTTCCCTCACCCCCTCCTCGCCCTTCCACCTCATCCTCCTCCCCACACGCCCAGTTCGCCTGTGGCATTTAGCGGGGCTGGCTACTGTAAAGTTGCCACGTCCGTTACGTTTCTCAGACTTATGAAACCAGAACGACCCGCTCGGGAAAAAAAAACCCCAAACCCTCCAAAAAAACTCCTTAACTGCGCAACGGTCTCAAATCAATCGCGGCCACCGTGGGAGATTTAAGCGAAAAGGTGCGCAAATCAAATGACATTACATTTGTTATGTAATATAATCCTTAATGAAAACGACTGGTAGATGTGTACTCTCAGCCCTCCCCACCTCCTGACTGAATACTCTCGAGTGGAATCACTCGGTTTTTCTGCTTTTCTGTCAGCGCAGAAGCCTTACAGAAACCATCAGCCACACCTTAACTCTCAATCAATTTTGTGACACTTCCAGAGGTTTCGACGTGACGCGAAAGCCCTCAACTTTAACCTGATAAAACGGTCGCCTTTTGCACTCCTGTGTTAACGTTTAAACCTGTAACAAAAAAATAAAACACCAAAAACCCGATCCAATCTGTGTATCCGGTTGTCCGGTCCCACCCCATGCTTCTCGCTGCTCCTCGAGGTTCCTCCCCGGTCTCTCTCTCCGGTCCAACTCCGTTCTTCAAACCGGCTTCTCACTCCGATCAGCTGGCAGGGTCGTGACGTCAACACCCGCCAGCGACCAATCAGACAAGAACCGGAAAACTCACCTCTGATGACCACGGTGTACGTACGATGACGGTCAGGCTCTTCGACCAATAGCAACACAAATCTCTGTGAGAACTAAGGCGGGCGCTAGAGACAGCGGCCAATGACATTACAGCCGCCCATGGGAGGCGTTTTATCCTCGGACCTATTAGGTGTTGGTAAGTATTATGTGTGAACTGCGAGGAACTTTTTTTACGCCACTAAGCCATAGATGAAATTGAAATTATAGACAAGCGGAGAAACAAAATGTTATCACTTACTTCTTACTGTAGCTGATGACAGGTTACCAATCCGCACTTCATAAAGTCAAGTGGTAATTACTGTTATTTTCAGCATGTGTGTCACACCAAGTGCCAGAGTCACGGTTGTTTATACAAGTCAGATATCTTTCCATCATATAGCATTATTCGTATGTATACATGTGCATACTCATACTCTCAGGCTGTCACGTGTCCGATTCAAGGTTAATAGGGTCATGCATCTGGTCTGTTGCATGAAGACACTTATTACTATAGCATGACAAGCTGATTTGAGTGGAGAATGACAATTTCACCATGTAGTTAACGCTGGTTTCTGCAACTGAAAGCGTTGTACTTGCATATGCATTTAAAATGCCTTTAGATTTGGGGTTTTATTGTGCAATGTGTTATTTTATGTGTTCCTATAAGACACCAGAATTACCACTTGAGTTTATTGGCTTGAACTTCTGGCAGTTATTGCGGTGTTGATATAATGTCCCTTAAATAAATGAGGCAGTGAAATGGTACTCGCCACGCTTCCCCCCACCCCCCCACTGCCCAACCCCTTTCCTTATGTTTCATATCCAGGCAGTCCTATAAGAAGTCTCTGTACAGAAAATACATAAAACTGACATTGAAACAAACAAAACCTCCAAAGAAAATGTTGTCCAGTGTTCTCTTTTTTTTAAGCAAACACAGCATTCCTGTGGTTTTGAATTGAGCAGGAATCTGGCTCTACTGCCAAATAAGTGATTGCACTTCTCGTGGACAAAAAACCTCAATTGGAGGCTTGCTTGTTGAAGTCACAATTCCACATTTGGAAAAGAGAATGGAATGTGCAACATTTTCCCTTCAAATGGGATAAAAAAAAAGAAAGAAAAAAAGAAACATTTGTGTGGCAGCTGTGGAAGCAACTCTCTCTCTCGAGGGCTGAAGGTGAAATTAAAATGCAGATGATGTCATTTACATACGTTTGTTGAGAACCTTAGCTACTGTCCGGGTACAGTATGAAAGGCTTATTTGTTCCTTAAATACAAAAGAGGGTATAGAGAGTCTTTGATACGAACAAGCCGTGGACATGCATAATTGAAGATACCTGAAGTCTTTCAAGCCACTGCAGTGCACGCATGAGAAGAACCAAATCTTAAGTGAATTCGCTCTTGACTTTTTAATGCACTGGGGCTTGTGTGCTCATGCTGCACTGGCATCCCGTTCTATGTTATCATGGATTTTAGAAGTGAGCCTTTACCTGGTTTTACCTGTCACTGAACAAACAGAGGAATGCTCACGTTTACAGTCATGTCAGAAATCTTCTTTGTGCTGAGGCTCAGAGAAGTGGAGTTATACAGATCGAAGGCAACAACCTGCCGACCCTTGTGCTGTAACAGTGGAGCAGCACAGTGCTGCTTCAGTGCCACAGCTTTTTATCCCTTGACTGAATTTATGTTGGTGCATTCACAAAGCTGGACAGAAATGCTCCACATCCACACATCACTCAGGAAACCAATCCTTCCTGCCCTCAGTCTTTTCACATGGTCTCAGTCCACACTGTGAAGTGTCTCTTACCTCTGGTAGCAAACACTGACAGTTTTTCTTTTTGCCTTTTCTTCATATTTTGCCAGTTTATTTAAACCCATCACAGCAGGTTGTGCCTTCGAGTCTGTATTCAGACACACAAACACATCTTGGCTGCTAAGCCATGAAACTGGTGTGAAAACGTTACTGGTAAGTAAACACGGAACTGCACATAAAGCCACACCACAGGTAACAATCATGACTGTTTTTCTGAGCTGAGCTTTATACTACGTACGTAGTAGAAGAAGAAGAATATGAACACTTATGTCATTAAGTCATTTTTATGTCATGTCCTTCCTTCATCCTGCTATTCTTTAATAACTTGTTGCATGTAACCTAAATCAAATAAATGTCATCTATCTACTTTATAACTTATATTTTTTTATAAATTATACACATTTGCATATATTTTTCTTGCTTATTTATTCAGTGTTCTGTATTTCTTATGACCTCAACATACTGTACCTTTGTTGCGCTACTCTGAGCCAGGTAATTTCTTTCTGATGACTTTTGACAAACAATGACAAACAAAATCTATTTGTCTCTCAAGCTCTAACATATGCTCTGTTACTTTATGAATTTTGAGCTTGACTGAATCAGCATTGTTTGTGACAATGAAAAAAGGACCTGCATCATCTGACTAACCTCTGACGTCTTTAAGCAAAAAAATAAAAAAATAATAATGCTGCTACTTCCTGTTTCTCAGAACCACACAGCACAGACGTGAGAACAATACCGTGATTTGCTGTGACGCTATCGCCTTTCTCATATGAATAATCTACGTCCTCCTGTCTACTGTCTCTGACCGGCCTCCTCTTTTCTTTAGTTGTGGTCTTGCAAGGGAAGTACATAAACACCTGTGTTAAACAGATTTCAAGAAGAAATAGGCACCTCTGCCAGACAAGGAGGCAATCTGGGGACTCTTCAAGCCAAGTAATTGCTTTTCAAAGCAGAACACTGCATATAGTCACTCACATCAACAGGTGGAGGGGAGGGACTTTTCTGCTTTGGGCGAGCAAGACTGTCTTGCAGATGAAATTGAGAGCCTGAATCTATGAGTCAGAGGGTTTAAAGAGAGAGAGACTGCAGGGAAACAAGCAATCGCTCTCATTCAGAATCAAAGCATTATTGTTCACAAAACTGTGCATCAGTTATATAGCAGAATGATCCAGGTAACTATAGCATGATAATGTTATTATTTCACTGATTTGTGTTTGTATTATTGCTCAGTTGTTACATAATAGTGTGATTGATGTTAAAATCCTTTAAGTCAGTTGCAATGGAAGACTTTAAAGTCACAATGACGGTTCCTTTAGCAGGAACAGTGCTGTCCATGTTTGCCATCTGTGCTAGTCATGGTAGTATGCTAACATTCAGTCATGCAACTAAATGTAATGCAAATGGCATCACCTTAGCTGGGTTTTGGGTTTGTACAAATAAATATGTGACTTGATGATGGTGCTAAAATATGGTAGAATTTATGTGGCCAGCATGAATTTCCTCCACCGATTTAATGGCAACTGATCTAACAGATCTCTGTTGCAAACCAAAAATACCACTATTAGAGTGACTCTAGATGAAAATACAGGAGATTGCTGTAATCAGTAGGTATCGCTCTGTGGAGAACATGGAGTTAGAATGGTAAATGGTACCTTTGTGTTCTTCACCTGTCTCGTCAGCCATTCATTTGATCCACTTAAAACTTGGAGTGTGTATAGCTGGGCCCTAAGTGCTGAGTTTGAGGTTACTGCTTTACAGTATTGCCAAACGGCAGCATTTCTTCATGCATACGGTACAAACATTAGCACGTGAAAGGTTCTGTTGTGAACAAACCAAATGCTGTTTAACTGTTAATACATTTGGCTTTGTTTAATACTTTCTCATGTCGTTATACTGTTGTAGACAGTAGATTCAAAGGTTGGTTTGCATGTTCTGCACATTAAATCCCATAGAAATGACTACACTGGCCTACTGTACATTTCTCTTTTCAAGGTCCCATTGACAGATCATTTGTCTTAGAGCCAGCAAGGTGTCATGAAAATGTGACACACTGTCATATTTTAAATCAGTTGGTTACAATTATAAAAAAAATTGTTCCA